TCACGACAGTCGCAATTATTCGGCGGCGCAAGAGAGGCCTGCCGTTTTTCCAAGCAAAACGGCGGCAGGATAAGCGGCGCGTCGTCTTTCGGCTCCACCTTAGCCGACGTAAAAGCTGCGCGTATTATCGCGACAACGGACGGCGCTTCCGATGGCAAATTTCCGGCGAAATTGCCGGCGGGACGACGCGACACCGCGTTTGCAAGGAATTATCACGGTCGTGGTAAGTCCGATGACGAAGACGGCTGTCGGCGGGAAGCTGGGATATGTATGTATCAGGATAGAAGGACGCTCGGCGAAGGAGCTAAACGATAAAACCGACGACGCATGGCGTGTTTGCAGTTTGTTTGTTGATACCGGGAACGTGAGTTATTGTGCAAACAATTGACGCGGACTGTCTACGCTCGACACGCTTCGTCACGAGGCAAAACGCGCACGCGTTCCTGCCTAGCTAGTAGCCGCGCGTTACCAAACGATTGCGATGCTTGCAGGAACGGGACGCGAGTCGCGGTTTCGCAGTCGCAATTCGGAGGGAATGCGAGTCGCGTTTTGCCCGAAATTCGGAGGGAACGCGAGTCGCGTTTTGCCTGAAATTCGGAGGGAAAGCGAGTCGCGTTTTGCCAAAAATTCGAAGGGAACTCGAGTCGCCTTTTGCCCGAAATTCGGAGGGAAAGCAAGTCGCGTTTTGCCCAAAATTCGGAGGGAACGCGAGTCGCGTTTTGCCCGAAATTCGGAGGGAACGCGAGTCTCGTTTTGCCTGAAATTCGGAGCGCCCGCGAGTCGCGTTTTGCTCAAAAGTCGGAGCGAACGCGAGTCGCGCTTTGCCCAAAATTCGGAGGNCGATTGCGATGCTTGCAGGAACGGGACGCGGCTAGTCGCGTTTTGCTCGAAATTCGGAGGGAACGCGAGTCGCGTTTTGCCCGAAATTCGGAGGGAACGCGAGTCTCGTTTTGCCTGAAATTCGGAGCGCCCGCGAGTCGCGTTTTGCTCAAAAGTCGGAGCGAACGCGAGTCGCGCTTTGCCCAAAATTCGGAGGGAACGCGACTTACGTTCGCGCACCGTGCACCCTTTATTTGCATTCCAAGATTACGCAGGTTTCGGGGCAATCGGCGAGCTAGTTTCTCGGAATAGCGTCGGTCCCCGAGTGACGGAACTTGTGCGGTACACGTTCGGTGTCGGATACACGCCCGTGTTTCGCCGGTCGTCCCACTTTTCCGTCGTTTCTCATTCCCGACCGCTTCGAGCCGATAGAAACCAGATTTATAGTGCCCCGCCGAAAACGTGGAAATCGCATGATATTCCGCGAACGATACGGGGAACGTTTGAATGCACGGAACGTTCGTGGAATAAATTTAGGTGGTACTCGAGCGGAAAGCTGATCTACCGGTCGCTTTGCGAAACTTTCGAGTGGCATCCCGAAGTTTCGTTCGGACCGGTTCACCGGTCCCGAGCGGTTCGAACAACTATAAAATGCAACATCGGCTCTCGTCGGACGAGTCGGCGATTACGATCTGACGTAATTTCGGGAATATCATCGCGACGGTGGGAGGGGGGAGAGGGGGGAGGATCGCCGATTCTAGGAGAAAACGTACACATTATGCGAGTTGCGAAAGCGTCTCGAACAGTCCCGCGTACGATTATTCGCGCGGAATTACATCCGCGAGAAACGGCGAGCCCGCAAATTGCTCTCTTCGAGAGAGTGAGTCTTCGTTCGATAAAAGAATACCGTCGACCCTGCCGTGTCTCGGCTTACTCGATAGACGGTCGCCTAGTTCTCGGTGATTTTTTTCGTCGCCTTCGTGCCCATACTCAAAGAGATAATCGCGCCGGGCAGGTCGCAATTATCTTCGACGGTTGCGACAGATCCAGGTAGGCTTGGAATATAATATAGACTCGGTGCTCCTATCTGCCTACCTAATCGCGCACTGGAACGCGAGCGTTTATAAATCGCGTTCGTTTTTACCAGCGATAGATCAGGCTTCGTTTGCCGTGTCTAGCCAATAAAACTATATATATTGACTGGATCGACTCGACTCGACTCGGCTCTGCTCTGACTCGGCTTGGCTCGGCTCGACTCGATTCGGCTCGTCCACAGCTCGTACACAACTTGAAAATCAGGGAACGGCAGGTACTTTTGAAGGGGGATGTCAAAAAAACGGCGTTCTCCCGGATTACAAATCTCACGGCGAAGATGCTCGGAGATAGCGAAAGAATATTCGAGCACCCCAATGGGGCCCCATTAGGATCCAGAGGTAGTTGGGCCAGTCCTCTATCTGGCTCCCCTTCTCCCTCTCTCTCTCTTTCTCTCTCAATTCCTCTTTCTCTTTCTCCTTCTCGTTCTCGATGGATTCAAGGTAGAGGAGGCGGGGGATGGTTGGCCGGTCAAGCCACATTCCGTTGGCCAACCGGCTCCTTGGGACCCTTCCTCCCCCTCTTTGGTAGACGGTTCTCTCTATATACGAGAGTCTCTCTCGCCTCCTTATGAACCACTACGCGATATGTGCCCACAAGACCGCCAATATTATTTCGACTAGACAGTGGTCGACGCAACCTTGTCAGAGAGCAACGCGCTGATATATACATATACATGTATAGTTACACGGACGCGTATAATATCTCTGCTTTTCACGATGAACCTTCGCTCGCACAGGCGTCTCGATGTTAATCCACGTTTAACGTCTAATACGCGCGTATTAGTTCTACATCGGCATGGATCCTGTCGTTTTCTTCCTCCTTCGTGTTCCTTGTCGCGACAACCAGATAAACGTCTCTCTTCGAATCTTTCGGACGTGGCACCGTCGTCCGATGCGGTTTTCCCTGGTAATCGGTAGGAACCCCGAAACGGTCGAGACCAGCGATATTTTATAACCGACGAACGCGGCCAATTTACGGCTACGAGATCAACGTCGATTCCGCCAAACTCGACTCGCTCTGCCGTCACCGTGTTACATTTTGCATCGTAGTAGCGGCGAAAGGATTTTTTTTCGACGACTCTCGCCGATCGAACGGTACCCGGCAACTCGATTCCATCGATGCTCTCTCTCTCTTTCTCTCGCTGAGAATACCGAGATGCCTGCGAGCATCGCAGTCGGTGGAATAAAAAAAATGAAGAAGACGAAAGACTCGCGTCCGGTTTCGATCGATTCAAGATCCTATCGCCTATCGCTCGTTAACCGCGCGACCATCATCCGATTTCCCGAATATTCCGGATCGGCTGTGCATTCTCGAATGCTCGGGGAGTCAACGATGTCGCTGCGTGATCATGGGGTCGAGGCCCCGAAGAACGTTCTAGAGTTCCCCGTGCACGGCGAGAGAACTCGCCCACGTAGGGTGCCGTAAAAGTTCGGTTCAAATCTGCCCTCGGCCAACCGCCAACCGCCAACCGCCAACCGCCGCCTCCGCTATCGTCCTCCCCTCCTCTTCCGTGACTCCTCGACTTCTTCTCCTTCGTCTTCTTCATCTCGTTTTCCTTCTCTCGGTTCCATCGTCGGAGTCGACGCCGCCACCCGCGATCTCTCCAGCATCTCATTCCTCTTCTCCCCGACTTTTCGTCTCGCTTGCAACGAGATATCCCTTCTTCCTCCCCCTGGATCGAACCGTGGTCCCGATCCCCCGGTCCCCGTTCGTCGTCCGCTCGTACACGTTGGGACGGGGCCCGATTCACGACGCATCGCGTCTCTTCCCGTCGCGACGCGACGCGTCGGGTCGGGTCGACGGGCCTCAAGAATGTACGAATACCTCGAAATGGAAGGTGGTTGGTTGGTTGGTCAAGATCGCCAAGGGGGAGAAACTCTCGGGAGCGGCGCGGCGGTGCCGGCGATCCTCGTACGAGGCATAGGGGCGGTGGGAGAGCGGTGGAAGCGGCGGCTGGCGGGGCCTTGCGGGGCGCAGAGGGTGTCCACGGTGGACCTAGGAGGCAAGGGGGCTTCCTTGGACCCGGAGGGTCTCTGGACGGTAGGGATGCGAGCGGGGAAGAGAGAGAGGGATGAGAAGTGACCGGATGGCCTTGGTCCCAAGACTCGGTTAGTTACCGCGCGGCCGACTATAACTGGTCGAGGCTCCGTAACACAGGGCGGTATCTCCGATTTCGTCTGCTTTTTAAGACGACCGGACCACGACACCGTGTTACCATCGCGGCACCGAATCGTCACCGAGCAGAGCCGGGCCGTGCGCAGGGCTACGAAAACGCCCGTCTTCCTCGCAGCCCGGCAAAGACCAGCATCGTGCATCGACCAGCATTCCTCCGCCTCTACCGTTTCATTTACAACTTCCGCGAGAACGAGTACAGATTCAGAAACCGCGGAACCATTTCGAATGCCCATGGTATCCGTGTAACCGATGGCCACTTCCTTCCCTCGACTCCTCTCTCTCTCTCGTTCCCTCCTCCTTGATCAATGTCTAGATCGCTGCCGGAAGCTCTAAATTTCGCACTGGCACGATCATCGACGGCACGGTTTGCTGGAACGCGTCGACCACAGGGGTCCGGTCCCGCTTTATTAGTATAGTCCCGGAAAATTCGTTGGCGAAGCTTTGTAAAAACGAGGGAGCTCTCCGATGGACCGTTCGCCTGGGCGGCCAAGCCACCGGAGAGGTTCCTCCTGTCTGGAGCGAAAACGAATGGCCTGGTTATTTAGCCGGCATTGCTCGTTATTGCTCAACAGGGGCAACTTACGAGGCCGCGCAAGAAAGTATACGACTATACGCGTCTCGCAAGAAGCTACACGATAGCGCTTCGCTAAGCCCGCGCGGATTCGCAGAGCCAATAATTATCCTTCGTGAGTTTGCGAAACTCCTTATCCGCAACACTTGTACCACAGCCGCTGAACGATGCCACGAATCGTTTAATTCTTCGCGATCGACCCGATTCAGCTCTCGGCCGGGTCTCTGCGAACTCTTTTCTCAACCGGTCGATCAAATGTTACCTGTAACTGGGGAAACATCGAAAACTAAAGCCGACCGGGTTAAAACAACGCGCGTTGGAGATTTAATAGATTTTTACGTATTGGTCAGAAATAGTTTTATTACTCCCCATGGGCGAGCAGAATTAAATTCTTATGTGAAACGTCGCCATGAAGTCCGAAGCTCTTGTGACAACATGCTCGAATTCTAGATAGGACAGAACACCGTCGCCGTCGATGTCGCTTTCCTCGAGAACTTTCCGGCATACTGTGGCCACCTCGTCGCCGTTCAGACCATCTTGGACCAACTGCCGGCAGGAATGTTCCAAGTCGTTGGGACCCAACACACCGTCCTCGTCGAAATCTGTTTCGTGACAAGTTCAACGATCGTAGTCTAAAATCCATCGTCTAAATCTAGGATGGAAGAAGAAGCTTTTTTATCAGCAGAATAATAAAATCGAAGGTGTGGCTGTCGATTAGGAGCAGATCAAGATCGTTGACTAAACAGCTTAACCCACTGACTGCCACGCAAATTTAGCGCGTCTTGCCCTGGGTGCCACGATTTTATTTGAAAGAAAACACGAAGTTTTACAAAATATAATAATTTAATATTATTATATGTGTATAGTGTACAGTGTTATATGTATATAGTGTAGAGAACATATTGATTATCAATAAAAAAAAATACTGTAAACGCCATTGCAATATTATATCAGTAATTAAGTTACTGATATAATAACTTAATTACTGATATAATATTGCAATGGCGTTTACAATATTTTATAAATGCTGTAATAAATACAAATTTAAATACTGTAAACGCCATTACAATATTATATCAGTAATTAAGTTACTGATATAATAACTTAATTACTGATACAGTATTTTATAAATACT